GCTAACAAAGCGCTCTGATTGTTTTTGTTGTAGAATACGATAGGGGATATATTCACACGTTATAAAACTGAAAAAGGATGGTGTATAAAATTGATTTTAAGATAAAAATTAGACGACAAAGAATTAACTTGACGGAGCTCAAACTCAAACCACACGGCAGCAACAAACAGGAAGTGACGTCAGGACGTCGATTAGGCAGTGATGTTTCGCCAATATATCACAAAAGCACTCGTTCTAGGGCTCCCAGAGTCCTTGATTCCATTCTGTATGTGGGTTGGGTTTTCTTAGTGTCAGTTGAACTGATGAACAGTTCAACGTTCATCAGTTGAGTGCTTGTGTTTCTGAATGTGCTGTCTAGGAACTGTGTTTATTCTCTCTAAATTAGCCAGTGTGATTTATGTGATTAACAGTTCTGTTCTTGTGCTCTGAAAGACGCTCTCAGACCTGGAGTAGCTGCTCACAGTCACATTAAACACATTGGTGATTACATATCCATTCCATGCCAATAAAGCCGCCTTCTGGCACACAGACAGAGTGGAAAGCTGTCACACAGAGGTTATAGTGAGCTCGCTTTGCCAACGAGGGAATCCTTTCATGTTAAAACCGCTCTTGTGTGCCCATTCCTATAGCATCTCCTGACTGTCACTGTCAGTTTTGAGTGGGAATTACGAAGGTCTTTTAAAATACATTCTTGTGAGAAGGTTTCAGTGGAACAAAAAGCGTTTTCAGACTTTGAGAGACTTCAGCTTTGAAATGGAAGACACTTGAGGTCTATACATCTTTACGGTGCAGGGCTGTTTCAAAGAGCTTCCAGCAAAGGTGGTGTAACGAATCAGCTCATGGAGTGGTTTATCGTAAGCATGAATAAAATAGTCTATAATACAACAGATTAATACAAAACAGCAATAATATACACAATGGCCTGAAGAATATGTGTGTTCATTCAAAGAAAGGTTTTCCTATGAATTAATTAGTAGCAAAGTCCATTTCTACTCTGCCTTTGTGCCTCTTGCTTCTGTGAAATGCAGCTGAGAGTCTCAGCTCACATTCCACAAGGTTGTAAATGTATCGGGTGTCCAGGTTACCATGAAACCAGGGGCCTGTTTGTGGGGTGTTACAGAGTATTTGTTAAATCTAGCTAACAAAATATATATTGTGTGTTTGGGTGGTCCAGACGCTACAGTGGTCTCACCTAGAGTCGTCATTTTGGTTTTGATGGAGCTTCACTGGCAGTCTTGACTCACTTGGTGCTCTAGGCAAGATTAGACATGACCAAAGACAAAAACACTTTTTAGCAACTTGAAGTAAGTGTGAGACTTAGGCCCAATCCCAATTCTACCCCTTAGCCCTTCCCCTTCGAGACACCCCTACCCCTTCATGTGAACGCGCGAAACGGAGGGGTAGGGGTGTCTCAATTTTCTTTTGGTTGGAGG